TATAAACTATAAATTCTGTGTGTGTTTTTTATTTTTTAATCAATTATTATTAATAATCTATATACTATTGTAAAATTAACAGTGATGGAGGGCTGACAATTTAAATCGTATTGTTGATAAAAGCGTTAATTCGAAATCGTCTTGAACAAAGTGCTTATTAAGATTCGGTTTAAAAATAGTGCCATCTAGAAGAAATTTTTTAATAAGTTATGTAGTGGCAGTATTGTCAGTTTTTGTTTGTAAAGGGAGAAAAATTGAGATAGCACAAACTTCTGAACGAGTAGTTATTTCTTATAAAAAAGTGACCAAAACATTCCTGTGAATTTAGTTCGTTGTCGTACGAAAGGCAAACAACTGATTGATTATATTTAGACTATAAATTCCGTTGTTGACTCCTACTGATATGATGATTTAAAGTCTGTGTTTTTTTGTTGTTGTTTTTTTTACAGAATAAACTGACAGTACTGCTTTTAAAAAATTTAGGAAGAAATACCTTCGACCAATCAATTTCCTAAACTACATATCTGTAAACGCTATTTAAAAGGCTATTTTATGCTTTTTTGAAAGAAATTTTGAATTAGTGTTTTTCTTAAGACAAATAAGTTCGTCATCAATATTTAAATTGTAAAGTCAATGCAGCCATATTAATGTACCGAACAGTTATCATAGATTGACGTTACGTTACTACATTAAATAATAAGAAAAATACCTGTTTGTAACAGTAATATAAATGATGAATTCAGTGACTTAAACCTCCTTATTCCTTTAATATTCCTCATTTTATTTCAAATATTAATTGTGGTGTTCAACGCTTACACATTTGTTCATTTTTTTACAGGAAAAAACCGTGCAGAGGCCTGTTGTTCACGTTTATCAGAATTGAACAACTACGTGCCCACTCGATTTTTCACAGGAATCTTGACTGAAGATTATTTAAAGAATTTTAGTGTCGTAGTCTTAACTGATACACCAATGAAAGAACAAATTCGTATCGCCGAAATCACTCGAAAAAACAAAATCTATTTAATTATTGGGGACACACGTGGCCTGTTTTCTCAAGTATTTTGTGACTTTGGTGACAATTTTTGTATCACAGACATTACTGGAGAGCCTCCTTTAAGTGCTATGATAGCTAGCATTTCTCGTGATAGTGAAGGAATCGTTACATGCCTTGATGATACTCGCCATGGAATGGAAGATGGTGATTTTGTAACATTCTCAGAAATTCAAGGTATGTCAGAATTAAATGGTTGCGAAGCTAGAAAAATAAAAGTCCTTGGACCATATACTTTTAGTATTGGGGACACTTCAAATTGTTCAGAGTACGTACAAGGTGGTATTGTAACACAAGTAAAAGTTCCCAAAAGTCTAAAATTTCTATCATACTCTGAAGCTTTAAAAAATCCAAACTTTATTATTAGCGACTTTGGAAAATATGAAAATCCCCAACAATCTCATTTAGCATTTATTACTTTGCATCGTTATGTAGAGGAAAGTAAATTATTACCCAAAGCTTGGCATGATGGTGATTTCCAAGAGTTCTTAAAATTAACTGAGTTTATTAAAAAAAAATATAATTTAAATCTTGAAGTTAACAGAGATTTTATGAATTTATTCTGCAAGACTTGTTCTGGTGAATTTAGCCCGATGAATGCTGTAACTGGGGGAATCATTGCACAAGAAGTAATTAAGGCTTGCTCAGGGAAATTTCACCCTATTTATCAATGGTTGTATTTAGACGCGATTGAATGCCTACCCAAAGATCAAAAGACCGATGAAACTGAAAATTATGCTCCAAAGGGATCACGATACGATCGTTTTGTTTCAATATTTGGAAATGACTTTCACACTAAACTAGCTAATTTGAATTATTTTATTGTTGGAGCTGGTGCAATTGGGTGTGAGTTGTTAAAGAACTTTGCTATGCTGGGAGTAGCCACGAAAAATGGAAAAATTACAGTTACTGATATGGATTTTATAGAAAAATCGAATCTAAATCGGCAGTTTTTATTTAGACCTGCTGATGTTCAAAAGTCCAAGTCCTCGACGGCTGCTAAGGCTATTAAGAGAATGAATGCTGAAATTAATATAATCGCACATGAAAATCGTGTGTGTGCAGAAACTGAAAAAATTTATAATGATGAGTTTTTCAAATCCCTTGATGGCGTTGCCAATGCGCTCGATAATATTGATGCTCGAATTTATGTAGACCGACGATGTGTTTACTATCGGAAACCACTTCTTGAATCAGGTACTTTAGGTACAAAAGGAAATACGCAAGTTATTGTACCATTTCTAACTGAATCTTACAGTTCTTCACAAGATCCGCCTGAAAAAAGTATACCCATTTGCACCTTAAAAAATTTTCCAAATGCAATAGAGCATACTCTTCAATGGGCAAGAGATAGTTTTGAAGGCTTATTTAAGCAGTCTGCAGAAAATGCTGCTCAATATATTAGTGATCCAAATTTTATTGACAGAACTCTTAAATTACCTGGAGTGCAACCATTAGAAGTATTAGAGTCAGTGAAAATAGCTTTAATCGATGAAAGACCTTTATCATTTAAAGATTGTATCGTATGGGCTCGATGTCATTGGCAAGATCAATTTAATAACCAAATCAGGCAACTATTATTCAATTTTCCACCTGATCAAGTAACGTCAAGTGGTCAACCATTTTGGTCTGGACCTAAGCGTTGTCCAACACCCCTTGATTTTGATGTTAACAATGAACTACATTTAGACTATATTGTAGCTGCAGCAAACTTGAAAGCGACTGTTTATGGTATAACTTGTAATCGAAATCGAGAAGAAATTGCTGAAATAGTATCTCAAGTTCGAATTCCGGAATTTGTGCCAAAATCAGGCGTTAAGATTGCTGAAACAGATTCGCAGATCCAAATTTCTAATGGTAACGGAAATGTTGACCATGATCGACGAAACCAATTACAGAATGAATTACCAAAAGTGGATGCGTTAAAAGGTAATATCTGATTCGTATATTAAGATTTTGGAATTAATGAATTATTTTCATAAGTAATCTCAAAAACTGTGTTGCAATAGTCTTAGGTATGACTAGACTTTTCCCTCATAAATATCGATTTACTATTTAATATTATTTTGGTAGATTTCTACGCAAAAAGCCTGCTTCTAAACTTCACCGCATTTTTTACAGCGTCATCATTAATTCTGAACAATGGTAACTTTAAAAATGTTTCTTTACAAAAATTTTAAATGCTTTTGATGACAGTCTTGCCGTAGATAAAAACTCGTTGCTTTAACTAAAAATAAGATCATTTGTCATTTTTTTACGACTCTCAGAAGCAAAGATCGATTTTTTTCTTTCTGAAATCGTTGTTATTCTATTTATAAAAATTAAGACATAAAATTAGAGCGTAGCACAGCATGAGAGTTATGATTTGATAGGACCTTTTAGTATACTTCGGATGACTTCGAATTTAGTTGCTATAATGAAGTTAAGTACATAATTGTTTTGTCCCACCTGTAAATGTGCCCGACGTTGAAAGGTGGAGGAGAGCGGACTCATTGACGGCAGTGTGTCCGCTAGCACGAGTTATTCAGCGTACTTTTTGTGCGCATCCCTTCAAATTCAAGGCGGTAAAAAAATTTCTAATGTCTCAGCTTTTGTTATTCCTAATTTTTTTTTTTTTTTTTTTTTTTTTTCATTATTTTAATTCAGGTGAGTTCGTATATTTCTGAACGGTGATAAGTGTTTTTTGTCAAGAGTCCTAAAAATTTTTTTGTCGTCTTATTCATTAATTACATTTGTTTCATAATTGCAGGCATAATTTCAGTACCACAATTTATTGACATACTTTGAAGAACAATTATCACGCAAAGATACAAGTTGTTAGTTACCACTTGTTTATACTAAACTAAATTTCAAAATCAATGAAAAAGGCAAAAAATATAATTCTTATGACTCTTTAGCGAACAAATACTTGTTATTATTGTTTGTAAATCAACGAGCTATTCTAAATAAAAATAAGAAATCTAGAAATAACTGTAACCTTATGTAAATCATTGTCAAAAGTGAACAACTCGAATCAAAATGTATCAAATTAGAAGAAATGCACAGATTTCAAAAGTAACTTGTCAAATGAATTAGGTGTTTCTAAAAATTCGTTATACATTGGAATATACAAATTAACATTAGCAATTCGTTTTCTTAAAAATGAATGAAAAACGATAAAAAAATCAAAACATGTGACCCTAAAGCAATAATACGCATACGAACTTTTTTTCATGTAAATAAAGTTTGATCTACTTTTCAAAGTTTTTAGAACTATGTCCTGGAGAAATATTTCATTTAAAACACTTATGTCAATGTCAAAATGGAAACAAAACCTGCACTTAGTGTGTTAAAAAAATTATTGTAAGTTGTTTTTATGTAAAACACCTTCTAAAAACAAAAATTCATGTATCAAGGATGATCATTATCTTTGACTTAAACCAAATGATATATTTCTTCGCTGAACACCCTTGTTTTCACCCAGAAAATCAATAACTTTTATAATTGTACAATACAGTGTCAAGCTTACTATTTGTGACGTATCTTGACCATAGCATATTTTCAATCTATTTCCAAATAATCATTCGAAAGTATTTAAAAGGAGCTTTAATTTTATTTTTAGTGGAGCTTCAAAAATTGATTTGGTAATCAGTCATGAATGATAAAACTTTGTACTAAAAATTGCTAATTTGGTCAATCCCAGATTATAGTCAATGAAGATAGGGATTTTTGGAATTATGTGGAAGACGCAGACTTCTTGAGCCTGTCTGAAACGTGGTTAAAGAAAAAAGGATGGGAAAATTTTAAAGGTGGGCTCTCGAAAGAATTCGTATGGAAGGCTGTTTTTGTAGTAAGAAGTTATAAAAGAGGGAGGGCAAAGGGTGGCTTTGTTTTAAGTGTGAAAAATAGCTTACATGGTAAGGGAAGCAAATTGATCGAAACGGTAAAGATGGTATTATTGGGTCAAAATTAGTCAGTAATAATGGTAGGATAGATAGATTGTATTACGATCATCTCCGTATAAAATAGTGGAGTACTATCTGAAATTAATGATTTCTTAGAGCGAGCAGCTTTCTTAGAAGAGGGCAAATTAGTAATTTGGGGAGATTTCAATATAAAAGTGGGTAATGTAAGCTGCGGGTTATCAATAGAAATAGAGGAAATCAGTAGGAAAAGGAATAGTAAAGACAAAGTAATAAGCAATGAGGGAGGGAAGTTTGTTGACATAATTAAAAAGAAAAGCTGGTTCTTGTTAAATGGTATAGACTTTGGCGATGAAAGAGGGAAGTTCACATTTGTAGGACCAAGGGAAAAATCTGTCATGGATTATGTTATGGTTAATGAAAAAATGATTGGTATAGTTAATAAATTCAAAGTAGGAAACAATTGAGTCGAACTATATGCCTCTGAAAGTAAATGTCAATGGGGGAATAGAGGAAACAGTGAATGCATCAGGTCGAATTCTTAAGAAAGGACTAGTTAAAACAGAGGTCTACATATGGTCAGACGAAAGCTGCTTGATTCTTAGAGCAAGTCCTTAAACTGAGGGGGAGGATGATGTAGTTAAGACCTAGGAGTCATGAATGAGATTAAAAAAAACGTATTTTAGATAATATGGTGAAAAAAGTTATTGTAATAAAGGTAAGGAAAATCGGTTATTGAAAATGGTAGGACAGGGAGTGTAAGAATAAGAAGAGAAAGGCAAAAAGAGAGCTGTGGCGTTGTAAGTTAGGTAAATGTGATAAAGATATGTATGTAAAGGCTAGAAAAGATTAAAGAACAATTTATCAAGTAAAGAAAGTAGAATTTAAAGAATCGGAAAAGGAAGCTTCAAAGTGTATAAGAAATGAACCGGATATAGGATAAGTATAGAAAGAAAAAAGAATGTGTAGAAAATAATATAAGTTGAAATGCATGGAAAAAAACTTTAGAAATCTGTTGAAATGGAGAAATGAAATAATACAGGAAAAGGAAGTATTAAAGGTTGAGAAAAGGTTAGAGGAGGTTGAACCAAGTAAGGCTAAAATAGCACTAGCGATTAGAAAACTAGAAAAGAAAAAGGTTACCGGGTGCGATGGGATACCAAACTAAGCAAGGTTGTATGCAAGGAAAGGGGTGATGAGGCAACTAGAGGAACTATTATTAAAGGTTTGGAAAGGTGAAAAAATATCTGAAGATTAGAAAACGGCGGTTATTATACGATTGTTTAAAAAAAAGAGACAGAAACGAGTCAAATAATTATAGGGGAATCGCGTTTTCACCTACTAGATAGAAAATATACACAGAAGTACTTAGAGGGAAATTAATAAAAGAAATAAATTATAAAAATGTACTATCGGATGGTCAAGCAGGATTTAAAAAAGATAGGGTGACAATAGATAACATTTACATCGTGAATCATGAGGTTCAAAAGATTAGGGCCAAAAATGGGAAGGCCAAAGTCCACGCGTTGTTTGTAGACTTTGAGGCAGCGTTTGACACTGTGAATAGAGAGATACTGTGGAAAATTATAGAGAAGTATGGCATTAGTATGGATCTTATAAATAAAATTAGAGAGAACTTTACTGAGAAACTAAAATTAGGATGAGGGGAAATAAAAGGTTATCTGAGGAAATTTTGATTTCTAAAGGGTTAAGGCAAAAGTATTTATTAAATCCAGCGTTGTTTTGGATATATATTGCGGGGTTTCAGAATAACTTGATGAAGAGGAGTGTAGGGGGGGGGGGGTCATGATTGATGAGGTAAGGGTATGGTAAATAGCATACGCAGATGACTTGGTTTTGCTGGCATTGAATAGAGAGGCAATATGGGACATGATTAAAACCTTGAGGAGATTTTCGAAAAAAAGACAATTGTGTATAAGTTACGAGAAAACGAAAATGTTAATCTTCAACATCAAAGGTAAGCTTGATACAGCAGGTTGAAAATTAAGGGAAGGCACTATAGGGAAAGTGGATAACTTACAGTACTTAGGGTTCACTTTGAATAGAAAAAATGATTCCTCCGATCATATAAAAGAACTAAAAAGAAAAGGTATTTTGTCAGCAAAAAAGATGTAGAGACTAAATGAAATGGTTTCTGAGGATGATTTTATGGGAAGGTTGATGATATTTAACTACCGAGTCAAAAGTTTAATGAGTTATGGAGCTAAGATTTTTGAGTGGACAAAAATTAAAGAGTTTAAAAAAGTACAGTTGGATTATTTTAGATGGGTGTTAAGGTTAGATTTTTGCACGCCAAGATATAAAAAAGCTGAAAATTCACTTGGGTATGAGAGCGATTCATTTCGATCAGAAAACCTTTAACCATGGAGAAGACAGGCTCACTAGATTATGCTACAAGGAGACTTTTGAGAAAGAGTACAAATTAAAAATAAAAGTAGATAGGAATAAATTTTTAAAAAATTTAAATTTTAGTTTTATGACCAGACTTGTTTAGAGTACGGTCTTAACCGTTTTATTTTAGTGTCAGTCGTTGGTCTTTTAGTATTCAGCTCGTAAGTTTTACTTGTTCTTTTGAGTTAAGTAAAAATATTCATTTAAATAATACGGATAATTTGAATGGATGTTTAATGTTCAATTCTTTTATTAAAACAATTTCAAATAGTTATTCTTCTAAATACAATCTATTCAGATCACTTTAACAAGGTTTTGGTGTTAATGATATTGCTGATAAATAACTTACATCTATCACTAATTGCTGTTACGGCTGCTTCACAGTCCCCTAATGCTTTGTACAGTAATTTTCAGTGGTTCCTTAAACTACACGAATGAGTTCGTGGCCATTAAGATGTTGCGGTTTCTGCCTTCTGTGTTATCAACGGAACCACTTTCGGTGAACCTCCTTCGTTGTACCTAGCTCCATAGCATAGTCTGATACTATTGATGTTCTCGAAATACACCCGAGTTGCCTCAGCCAACACGTTATCCCTTACGTATTTAAGGTACTCGCAAGTCGTAGG